AGCTTAGAAGGGCATTATCCTGAAGATTAGGGATAATGTCAAAAATATTCAATTTAAATCCTGGTTTCTTTCCCAGTGCAGTTTTGGTACATTTGATAAATCCTTTAGACTATAGTCTATGGTACTGCCATCTAAAAGAGGGCTCTGGGCTTGATCATTGCTAAAATCCCCTTTTATTCTAAAGACACTAACTACATAATGGCATTGAGAAGAATCTTGTTATTAGGAGACTGCTAGGTGTATATTTGGTCTTTGTATTTGTTAGTTATTACATTATGTATAGCCCATTTTGCTTTGCTGTAAAGGAATACCTGAGGCTGGGTAATTTATAAAGAAAAGAGGTTTATTTTAGTCACAGTTTTGCAGACTGGCCAAGAAGCACAGTGCTGGCATCTGCCTCTGGTGAGGGTCCCACAAAGCTTACAATTAAGGCAGAAGGTGAAAGGGGAGCAGATGTGTTACATGGTGAGAGAGAGAGTGAGAGATGCCAGGGTCTTTAAAACAACCAGCTCTCATCTGAACAGTAGAGAAGAATGCACTCATTACTGCAGAGACGGAATCGAGCCATTCATGAGAGATTCGCCCCCATGACCCAAACACCTCCCACCAGGTCCCAACTCCAACACTGGGGATCACATTTCAACATGAAGTTTCTGGGGAGTGAACATGCAAACTATAATACATGATGCATTTTGGAATAAGGACTCATTACATCATATGGTACCCTGGTCATCATGTATCCACAAAGGATGTGGATGGTATTCATGCATAAATAAAGCTCAAGTAGATTCCTAAGACTATGCTACGCTTGTTAAACAACATCATGATTTATGCAGGACATATATATTATTCTAATCAGTCTAGATATGCCAATTTAGATTTTACTGATGCACTTCAAATCTCTTAAACTCAGAGTAATGTTTTCAATTACAATTTTATAAGCAAACAGAACATTAATCAATATGTCAGTAAACTATTGCCCTGTCATCTGGACTACAAAAACCCATAAACATTTTTAAATAGGGATCTCTCTGTAGAAAATAAGTCTTCTTTAAGTCCCTAATTCCCTAGAAAGGTTTCTTGTGGGTCCCTTATCCAATTCAAACTCTCTGGGTAGCAGAGGATCTAAGCCACTGCCATGGCCTGAATGTACTCCTTCCAAATTCAGGTGTTGCCAGTGTGATACTATTAAGAAGTGGAATCTTGAAGAGGTGATTAGGCCAGGAGGGCTCCTACCTCAGGAATGGATTGGGTACCCTTATAAACAGTTGTGACAAAGAAAGTTGGCTCTCTCTTGCCCTCCTACCTTCTTCCAGGTGGGACACAGCAAGAAGCCCCTCACCAGACTAAGTAGTAGTACCTTGATCTTAGACTTACCAGCTTTCAAGAAGGTGTGAAATAAATTTCTGTCCAATTTAAATCATTCGGCCTTAGGTATTCTGTTGTAGCAACATATGGTCTAAGACAGTCATAAGTCACAGCCACTGCATGAGGTTTGACTAGAACACTAACTTTGGGAAACTCAGTTGTGTTATGTCATTGATCCAAGGTTTGTGAAAGTTTACTTGGGAGAGTCACACACAAGAGGGTCTGAGGGTGACTCACCATCAACAACATTCCTATAATTCTTACTGCACTCAGTGTAACAGGACCTCCTGTCTTTCATTATGCAGCTTGCACTTTTACATGAGGTATAAGATATTTGGTCTCATTCAAAAACCTCTCAGCTTATAAAGCTTAATTTCCTTTGGATAGAGATACATACCTCTATAATCTATATATGTAGAGGTAGGTAAAAGCGTTTACTGATTGCAAACTTCCCTCTGCTTTTTTTGTATTTTACCATCTCTAAAATAAACTGGCATCTTACAATCCATGAGAGAGTTTTTTGTTGTTGTTTCTTAGCAACATGTAAAGCAGAGGTACACATCACAACCAGTGGCATATCAGAAATGATTATATATGATAGATTTGCCCAATAAAATTAAGCCCTTGTTCCATTTCAGTTAAAAAATAACATGGAAGAAAATTACATTTCAATCTTTTTTTAATACCTCTCTAAGTTAATACAGCTCTATATTAATGCAAATCATTTACATCTAGGTCATCTCCTTCTAAAAGAGAGATTTTTCAAAAGAGATGTACAGTTAGATAATATGAATTTCTCATTTTCAAAATGGTAGCCTATATAACCCAGAAATATATATGGTTTCCTTTCCTGTGTTTTGCTCAAAATGACATAATTTATTGTCTTTTGTTGCCTTCTTTGTATATGCTTATCTGAAGTGTATCTTGATATGTGATACAATACATTGTGTGGGATGACAGGGATAGTTTTGTGTAATTAAATACTCTGTCATCAGAAGAAACAGACCTTGTAATGAGTGTTTTGCTGACTGAGAGCCAGATATCACATCTAAGCTTTATTTTTGAAAGCAGAGATGGTAGAGGAGGCAGCCTTGACACCATGGCAGATCCTTGTCACCTTCTGACCTTACATGTTAAAAACTCAAGTAAGGTCAGAAGGCAACAAGGACCTCATGTCCTCTCAGTAGCAGGAAACAACTTTAGTTGTTTCCACCCTCTCTTCAAGTCTTAAATATTAAATCCTTCCTTTTTGTTCTTTCTTTCTTTTTTTTTTTTTTTAAGACAAGTCTTGTTTTGTTGTCCAGGCTGGAGTGCAGTGGTGATATGCTTTGACGCCATGTCCCTACCTAAATCTCATCTCAAACTGTAATCCCCACATGTCAAGGGAAGAACCTAGTGTGAATCATGGGGGTGGTTCCCCCTATTCCATTTTCCTGATAGTAAGGGAGCTCTCACGAGATCTGATGGTTTAAAAGTGAGTTTCTCCTGACCTCTCTCTCCTGCTGACTTGTGAAGAAGGTGCGTGCTTGCTTCTTCTTCACTTTCTGCCATGATTGTAAGTTTCCTGAGGCCTCCCCAGCCATGCAGAACTGTAAGTCAATTAAATCTCTATCCCTTATAAATGACCCAGCCTAGGTATTTCTTCATAGAAGTGTGAAAGCAGACTAATACAAGTGGGATGACCTTGGTTCACTACAGCCTCAAACTCCTGGGCTCAAGCAATCCTCCCACATCAGCCACCGAGCAGCTGGAACTACACATATGCACCATCATTCCTAATTAAATTATTTTACTTTTCTGTAGAGTTAGGGCCTCACTATGTTGCCCAGGCTGGTCTCAAACTCTTGGCTTCAAGCAATCCTCCTGTCTCAGCCTCCTAAAGTGCTGGGTTTACAGTCATGAGCCACTGTGCCCAGCCAACTCTCCATTTAATGACTAAAGACATACACAAGACATACATTCGTTATAAAGCAAGTGTGTGGGTGTGTATTTCTAGTCCATGAACTCCAGCCCACAAACACTAGAGCATGGAGGGAAAGGCCTCTCTAGTCTGAGGGTCCTATGGGGACATGCTGCCTGCTGGGAAGCTGTCATCACAGATACTAATAATTACATAATTAGTATCTCTCAGATATATGCTAAAACAACTCTGGGTCCTAGACAATGGCCTTATTACTTAAGAAACAACGCTATTATCTTAAGCCTTTTTTACAATAAAAAATGCAAGATCAAAGATCTACAAGAAGATTTGCTGACCTTCTAAAGTGTATGTCTGTACTCTGGAACCACATTTCAGGTATTAAACATTATGTTTTATCAAGCCGCAAAGAATGAAAGGTGAGCACCCTTATGCTCTTAGTATTTTTCAGAAATAGGAAGGGATTAAGAACAAACAATGGCATTTTTCTAACCATTTTAAAGGGACTTTGCAGAAAATTGGATTCTAAAATAATAGATCTGAAGTTAAATAATCACAAGGACTCACAACTAATCCTACTAGGAAGCTCTCCAGAGCCTAGATGTGGTGATGCACACACTGTTACAGCGAAGGCCCCTTGATTCAGTGCCAACATTTGGGAAACGACAATGGTTTGAATAGCCCCAGACTTCCTTGCTTCATCTCGTCTGGTTTTCCAAATTTCAAGCTGAATAACTGGCTTCATGAATATGTGGCTGAGATAACAGAAAGGGTAGGTTCTTTGGTGGGAAACAGGCTGACGTTGTGATGTCTTAGAAGTGCTAAAGCATGGAAGAAACAGCAAGGAGTTCACACACTGAATGTGCCACACCTCTGTCTTGCAGAGATACCACAGAACTGGTGGGCAGAGATTAGCAGTTTTGTGAAGGCAACCTGACTTATGACTTTTCCATTATGTGGAAGTTAATAGTTGTTGTTCATATTCTATGAGAAAACATAAGAGAATTTGAGATCACTGGACAAAATGTTCTCAAGACCAAAAATCCTCCAAAAACAAACAAAAAAAAGCAAAAAATATTCCAAATACTAGTTCCTATAAATGTGGACCCAAACAAACGTATTAGCAAAGGAAACCATGCAATGTGCTTTTCTTGGATTCAGTCTGGCTCTCAATACAAGTGAGTTTCTCCTCACTCCACAGAGTCTTATATGGGAACGCACAGTAGGCTGTCTCTTCCAGACCTTCCTGTGACCTTGAACAGGATCTACGGGTTGGCCCCACATGAAGGTGAAAATAATATCCTTTAGTTATTCTTTTCTCGTCTTTCCTTATGTCAGCCTCTGGAATTATATCTCCCAAAAGAAATTTATGGGTGTGGAAGTTCCTGTTTTATTAGTGCTCCAAGGGGCAAAATAGTCCACACCAAACTCTGGAGGGGAAAAAAATCCAAGAATAAAACAGAAACCATAAACTCCATTATCAAATCAACACAGTTTTCTCTGAAGACATTTCTCTTCAAACAGACAAAAAGCCTATAATAGCATTCCATGTGGCCCCGTGCAAGCCAAGAGTCAAGTGATCTGAGAGAGCACAGACTGGGTTTGCAAAAAAGGTTCTCATATGAAAAGGTGCAGACAGTGTGGCTGAGGATCGCCAGGGGAGCATGACTCCCATGGGCAGCATTTTCAGAGGATGGAGAAGGCGAGCACTCACCGGACATGCAGAGGTGCTCTGTTCCCACTGCGTCATGCTCAGGCTCTCCTCCAGGCTTGTGCATTTCTTCATCACCACGTCCCAGCCACAGTAAGGGTCCTGGGCCCCAATGCAGGTGCTGTAAAGACACACACCAAATGGTCAACAGAAAGGTCGCTTTTCCAAAGATAAGATACACAAGACAAGGCGAACCTGTCCCTTAGTAGAGAGTTATGGGATTTCTTAGATATGAAGCCCTGTGGGTATTTATTTAGGCTGTACACTGGAGAACATAGCCACATAGCTATCTGCACACTCCAGTAAGTACCTAATATTAAACCATTTATATAGACATTTTGAAAAATCTATGTTTTAATCTAACATACATGACAGATGACTAAAGATGAGCCAACACGAGTATTTTGCTGTCACAAATAGTGCTAAAGTCAAGATTCTACAATGTTCAAAAACAATATAGCTGTTACCACCACTACCGTCACCATTATCATCCTCCTCCTCTTTACAACAGGTATTATTTGTTGCAGATGCTTAAACGATTTGATAGGCAGGTGTTATTTTCACTTTATTTACCATTACCATCATCATCATCATCATTACCACCACTTTATTGATGAGAAAACCGAGGCACAGAAAATTTGAGAAATTAGCCCAATGACATGCAGATACATCCAAAACTCTTCAACATGAATCGTTCAAAAAAATACGAACATCTTTCATTTGTTTACTGTAGCTTAAATGTACTAAAACTTTCAATTTCATAGTAATCTCATATAGCTGTGTCTATAATATCCTACATATGATATCAGAAGTATTGTAGATGGCAGATATTTTCTTTTTAACTTTGTCTAAATGAAAGAGTTCATACACTACATGGGCATTATTAGATGAGGGCTGTGGCCTTTACATTATAAATACAAGCAAAGGTAAATGAGGGAGGAAGAAGACAGAGATGATAATGATGGAGCCAGAAATATACAGAAGATAATGTCATGGGCACACAGGACATTGAACCTGGGAATTCTGTGAGTGGACTGAGAAGTCGGAGGGGCAGAAAGCAGATGTGAGGAAAGAAAGGCAATGCCAGCATGGAGGTGCTAATGACCCCTCTTGGAGGTAGGATAGTAATTACAGTGAGGGAGGAGGAACTGTTACAAATTAACCAAGGACCAGAAATCTGGTAGGACCAGAAATCATGGCTTAACCATCAACCCTGTCAGCAGGGAGGTAGCATAAGTTAAGTAGTGATGAGTTGTTCATATTCATAATACAAAATAATAATTGTTAACAGAAAAGGTACTAATTATATATAAAGCTCTGTTCTAAGAATGTGACTTTATTTGGTCATTTAAACCCTACGACAACCTTATAAATACAGTACCTCAATTAGGCACTACATTGATTCTCGCTTTGAAATGAAGAAACTGAAGGAGGGAAAGATTGATTTGAAGGCTGTACAGCTAGGGAAGATATGTTTGCAGTTGATAAATTGACTGATATGTAGTAAGTTATTATACGACTATCATTTATTAATTACCTAAAGAAGTGCAAATGATTTAAAAAGCTGTTTCTCAGAAGTAGGGCTAGGTTGGGGTACAAAAAGGTATGAAACAATTACCTGTTCCTATGACCTCATTAAAACTCCTTGATATGCGACCACATGCAGACATGACTTCTATTAAAAAATGCAAACAAGGCAGTTATAAAGGACAAGGTGAAAGCCTATTTCCTCAGTAGTAGGTACTGTTTATACTAACTCACATATTCTGCAGATATTTTATCCACACATGAGCATGCTTGTGTGCACATATCTATATATACACATATGTATTTTGTTATTGTTGTTTATAGGCAAATATATGTTTTATATAATTATATGTAATACACACAAATGTGATTGTACACGCTGTTTCACATTTTGCTTTCTACAACCAATAATATATTATTGCACTATTCTTGTCAATAAATATAGCTCTACCTTATTCCCCTTAACAGCTGTATAGTGCTTCATTTTCTCTCTTTTTTTTTTTTTTTTTTGAGACGGAGTCTGGCTTTGCCGCCCAGGCTGGAGTGCAGTGGCTCGATCTCGGCTCACAGCAAGCTCCACCTCCCAGGTTCACGCTATTCTCCTGCCTTAGCCTCCGGAGTAGCTGGGACTACAGGCACCCACCACCACACCGAGCTAATTGTTTGTATTTTTAGTAGAGATGGGGTTTCACCGTGTTAGCCAGGATAGTCTTGATCTCCTGACTTTGTGATCTGCCCGCCTTGGCCTCCCAAAGTGCTGAGGATTACAGGCGTGAGCCACCATGCCTGGCCAGTGCTCCATTTCTTTTATGAACCAACATTTATTTAAATTTCTCCTTCATTTTATTTATTTTATTTTCAATTTTTTATTTCCATAGGTTCTTGGGGAACAGGTGGTGTTTGGTTACATGAGTACTTTTGTGGTGATCTGTGAGATTTTGGTGCACCCATCACATAAGCAGTATACAATATCCACTGCATCCGATTTGTGGTTTTTTTTATCCCTCATTCCCTTCCTACTCTTTCCCTCGAGACCCCAAAGTCCATTGTGTCATTCTTATGCCTTTGCATCCTCATAGCTTAGCTCCCACTTATGAGTGAGAACATGCGATGTTTGCTTTTCTGTTCTTGAGTTACTTCACTTAGAATAAGTCTCCAATCTCATCCAGGTTGCTGTTAATTTATTCCTTTTTATGGCTGAGTAGTATTCCATCATATATGTGTATCACAGCTGCTTCAACCACTCCTTGATGGATGGGCATTTGGGTGGGTTCCACATTTTTGCAGTTGTGAATTGTGCTGCTATAAACATGCATGTGCAAGTATCTTTTTCATATGATGACTTCTTTTCCTCTGGGTAGATACCCAGAAGTGGGATTGCTGGATTAAATGGTAGTTCTACTTTAAGTTATTTAAGGAATCTCCACACTGGTTTCCATAGTAGTTGTCCTAGTTTACATTCCCACAAGCAGTGTAAATTTCCCCTTTAAAATTATTAAATTTCCCCTTTTAAAGCAAGGCTGCAGTACTCATTTTTGTACAGATTTTCTATCGGATAAAATTTTATTCATGTAACAGTTGAGTCAAAAGTTATGGGCATTATTAAATTTGGACTAACCAACAATATGGGAGTGCCTCTGCTGCCTCATCCTGTTACATACTGGATGTTACCTTATTTTTTTTAACTCATCCAAAGGGTAACTCTTTCAGAAAGTTTGTATATGAAAAAAAAAAAAGTAGAATTTCTCAATTGTCTGTTTTCATTTCTTTCAGTTGTGTCTTAGGTTAAGGCTTAGCATACATGCATATACTTTTTAAACATTTGCATTTGCCATGTGTAAACTTCCTATCCATATCCAATTCCAAGGAAACTTCCTATCCATATCTAAGATTTGATCTCTTTCATGAGTCGTTCATTTTATTACATGGTCATTGGAAGGGGTGATTTTTGCATTAAAACGCAGCCCTCTCTGAGTAATATTTTCCCTGTTTGACATTTTTTTATTGAGATACACGTTATAAAATTTTACGCAGTAAAACTTATGAACGTTTTCCTTTATAGCATCTAACGTGTGTTCCATATTAAGATTTTTCTCACTTAAATCTTCCCAACTTAAAGATTAAGCATTGAACATTACAGAAACATTAAAGAGTATAGAAACATCACTCTCCCAATTCCTTCTGATTCTTCTAAAGTATCATTTCTTTGGCTCCCCATCCTTTTTCCATTTGAAATGTATTTTTCTCCTCCTCATAAATGAACAAACAAAATCAAAAATCACATATACATATTTAAAAATCTGAACATCTCAAATCCCACACAAAACCAACAGATTCAGGTCTTAGAGGAAAAATAATAGATGTGAGTATGCTTTCTTTTCCTGTTATTCAAATGACATCCTTTTCAAATACTACAAGTTTATAACAGAGAGTGTGAGCATAAGCACTTTAAAATCTCTAGCTTTGGGAACATGACTCCCAATAAGGTACTATTTTAAATTAAAAAAAATTTCAATGATCAGTTTCATTGAATAAAACTTGAACCTGTATTTTTATTGTAAAACACATATAAAAATTTTCTCAATTCTCAAGACACACAATTGACTTAATAACACTTTTTTTGTGTGCAGGGAATAGAGATGGTGAGAATAAACTATTACAACCAATGACTAAGACCATGAAACGTGTGCATTTATTATCCAGGTGTCAGCAATTTCTTCCTGTGTAACTTTGCATGTGCAGTGTTGTTCTGTAGAAAAATACCCAGAGGAAGTTGCTGGAAATCTGAAGACCCTTCAAGTACAGCCCATGAGACAGACCTGGGTGTGGTGAGCACTAAGAGTCCTGCTCCCTGCTGTGACCTCACCCGACTGCGCCAATGAGATCGGATCTGGGAGTGTCCTCATCTTACTAAAGTAGCCAAAAGTGACATATTTATATTTGCGGCTCCTATGGCGAAACCTGAGAGTAATTCTTTTACTGACAAAATCACATAGTGTATATCACATACGGGAACTCTATGTGCATGATTCTTTACACAGAGCAAAAGTATAGCGAGGCTACACTTAAGAGATCATTCAAAAGGTCTGCATTCCTTTTCATGTTTCTTATTAAAGCAACATGACCAGTAGGTAAAATTAAACCTCCAAAAAGGGAAAAATTCCACGGACTCCCTACGTTTACCCCAGACTTCCCGTGCAAAGCTGCTCAGAGACTTAAAACAATGCCACAGTGTTAGAGGGAAGTATTTCAAGCTGTTTTAAATGGAAAGCTGCATGTAATAACATCTTTTTCTTCTGATGATGCCAATGGTTCTGCATGTTCTTAACATTACACTTATCCTTTCAAATGTTAACATGTCTTTACAAACACAAATGCCCATTCAATAAAATACCATGTATATTTCAATATAATTCCCTCATGCAAAATATCTTACACCATGGGCAAAATTCTGATGAGATCTACCTTTATTCTAAATTATGTCTTAAGAAAATCTATCACACAATTTTATTTTTGGAAGCTGGGTCTCTAAGAAACTGTGGAAAATTGTGGGTTTCCAATTAACGCAGCCACCGTGAAAGTGGCTTTTCTGTA